TCCTGAAGCCAGTGATGGTCCTCATTCCACTCCAGACCTCTCTCATGTTGTTCTGCCGGAGTTTCCTCTCCAGCTTCCTCCTGTACCTCTCCTTAGCCTCCCTTATCTTCATCTTCAGCTCCCCCTGTATTGTTCTCACCTCCTCCCTGTTACCAGCTCTGAAGGCCCTCTTCTTTGAGTTGAGGATGACTTTGATGTCCTTTGTTACCCACGGTTTGTTATTTGGATAACAATGGACAGTCCTGGCTGGGACAGTGGAGTCCACACAGAAGCTGATGTAGTCCGTGATGCATTCTGTGAGCCCATCGATGTCCTCCCCATGTGGCTCACAGAGTGCCTGCCAGTCTGTCACACCAAAACAGCCCTGCAGTGTCTCATAAGCCTCCTCTGACCATCTCCTCACTGTCCTCATGGTCGCAGGCTGGCTCCTGACTAGTGGTACATGGCAGGGGTTGAGGTGCACCAGGTTGTGGTCTGACCTACCCAGAGGGAGGAGGGGGGAGCAGCTGTATGCATCTTTGGCATTTGCATACAGCAAGTCCAGTGTTCTCTCCTCTCTGGTAGGACAGCTCACATACTGTGTAAATGTGGGCAATGTTGTTGCCATGGTGACATGGTTGAAGTCACCCAAGATAGCTATGAAGGCACTCGGGTGTTTAGTCTGCAGGCGGGCTATGGCGGAGTGAATGACGTCACATGCCGACGTCAGGGTTGGCAGAGGGGGGGATGTAAACAGTTACAATAATGGCATGTGAAAACTCCCTGGGCAAATAATACGGCCTGAGTCCAACAGCAAACAGTTCAATGTCCGGGCAACAGATTTGTTCCTTAATAGAAATATGGTCAGGACTGCACCAGCGGTTATTTACTAGAACAGCAAGCCCCCCTCCTTTGCGCTTAACGCTCTCGGTGCAGTCCCGGTCGGCCCAAACAGTCTGAAAGCCGCTGATGGAGACGTTGTTGTCAGGAATGTCCTGGTGAAGCCATGTCTCAGTGAAGCACATCAGACTATGTTCCCGGTACTCCTTCTGACTCTTGGCGACCGCTGTCAGCTCGTCCATTTTATTTGCCAGTGACCTCACGTTGCCCATGACGAGAGAGGGGAAACACGGCTTATATCTTCTCTACTCCATAAGCCTCCGTTGTCTCAACCCTGCTTTTTTCCGCAGCAGTTTACTTACTCCCCTGCATCCTCTGTGTGTTTTCCTCCACAGTTCAGCTGGTATCTCCGATGTTCCGGCCGCCAAGCTGGCCAGCCTCAGCGCGATCAGCTGATCTCTGGAGTAAACAATGCGGCCATGAAGTTGTTGCGCAATGGTGCCGGGTCCGAATGAAATAAGTAATTCCAGAATGAGGAAAATGAGTACAACTCTCTCAATCAGCATGTTTGGAGAGGGCAAAGTTTCAAAATGACATTCACAAAAAAGAAAGCACAAATACCAAACTTAATAAAGCAAAAAAGTAAGAAAACTGAGAAAACAAGCAGGAGCGACTGCAACAGGCTGCACGCGCGGGCGCATGCGCACTGCTGTGATCATCTTGTGTAGTAACTGGAAGTGGTACTGGTGCTCAGGTGGAAGATTCAGAGAAGAAAACATACCAGCAAGGGCCCAGAGCTGGGCCTGCTGTAGAAGTTTTGCCTTGGAGTAGCAGTTGTAGTAGTCGGAAAAGGGAAGGAAATCAAATCTCATAGTAGATTAACCCAGGTCACGGGTTAAAACTTAAGATCCAATGTCCGATAGATAAAACATTTTAGTTATGTTACAATATATCAAAAAAATGGCCAGGATGTCAAGGTGTAACGCAGAAGTTTGCCTTAAAGCTTAACAATACTGTCAGATTTAAACAGAGCTTCTGACTGAGGGACACAACACCGGTGCATGCGCAGATCCTATCATAACTGTTGTCTTTTTCTGGTTTTTAAAGCTGCATTATAGTAAAATGCCGTAATTTTCTGAACATAACAGACTCTTCTAGCTGTTCTATTACCTGACTTTACCCACTCAGTCATTATATCCACAATACCAGTTCCCACATTTTCCAGGCCTGGTAATGTCATGGAATTAGCAGAAATTAATGAAAGTTTTGAAAAAGTTATGGAATTTTGTTGTGTGTAATGAAATTCTTACAGTAATCTTCTACGGATAACCTTCCACATAATGTGACAGCAAATTTATTTTCTGGAGCTGATGACATAATGTAGCTCACATATGTGTTAATGTCTACCACTTTGTTCACCATCACTTACGTTTCTCATTTTCTCTCCCCATTGTGTTTCTCCCTATAATGTATGCCTGCTAGCTGACATGTTCTGTTTATGTTTGAATAGAGTTTAAAATTGATGTGTTTGAAAAATGCAGGGCAAGTCAGACAAGAAATGAAAAAAATTGTCCACTTGGACTCAGCGATGAACTAATTAGTTTTTGGTGGTGAAAGGTTAAGGTTACTGTAACCTTGTTGATCTCATTCTCGTGAACATGATATCTCAAGTATGGCTTGAGGGAATTTCATCAAATCTGGCACAAAAGTCCACTTGGACTGAAGAATAAACTAATTAGAGTTTGCTGTCAAAGTCAGTGTGACCTCACAAAATAAGTTTTGGGCCATAACTCTAGAATTAATAATAATAATAATAATGATAATAGTAGTAATAATAATAATAATAATAATAATACATTGTCTTTATTTAGCACTTTTCATGGCACTCAAAGACGCCTTACAAATTCCAGGACAACCTCCCCTCTACTGTATTTTCTGTGTCCCACAGTCCCACAGTGCTTTGCATTGATCCCTACCGCTCACTTCATGATCCTATTCTCCATACTTATCTATGTGAAGCTGATAATACTCATTTTTTGCTGACAGTGTCAGAGAGCTGTTGTCTACCTTTTTCCTTGTTTCTTCACTTTTTTCTCTTTTTCTTCAAATCTTAAAACCACTGTCTTAAAATCTCTCATTCCTCACCTCATCTGCTCGTCATACCCCACCTGCTGCTCCGTCCCTGACATTTTATCAAGTAAATTGTGTAGCTCTCAGTAATCACATGCATTTGTATCTTGTATTTAGTATCTGACCTAAAATACTTTTTGATGTGATTTTTATGTAAAAACTCATCAGAATTTGTTTAGTTGTAAGGTTTCATGTTGACAGAAAAGTAGTAGTGATCAATAATAAATACGTAACAAATGTGTAATGATAATATGTAATGAATAATTATGCGCAGTATATGTACACAGGCATAACTAAATTGTGATGGCTGAAACCAAAAATATGTTGTTTCGGAAGTCAGTGTGTTTATGGCTGTTAGGCGTTCAGTTGTGATGGTTTAGATTTAGTGCAAAGGATTGCATTATGATAGTGAGGGTCTCCACAAACATGTAAGTATAGAAAAGTACAGTGTGTGTGTGAGAGCATCTGTGATAGAGCTGTATGTGGGTGTGTAAATGACAGTGATGAGGCCATGCAGGAGGATTTTTCAAGCTGCTTTACTTGTTTGTCTGACACTTTCCTGCCTCCAGCCTCTGTGCACAACAGGCAAAAAAGAAAAAAGTCATTAAAATCAAGCCCACACACTCACTTACAAATGAGTAGTACACCTTCTATTCAGCGTGATATACCTTCCTCCTCCAACATCCAGTCACACATATGCTCCGTACACACTTTGTGTTCTCAGTGGTGGAGCTGTCAGAGGTGATGTCTCCTCTCGGCTGCAGCTGACGCCCACCTCCTCTGCCACCTAGCAGCCTCCACTTTACCCAGGTGAATCAGGCCTTACTCCAGTTAGTCTAGACCATTGTTCCTGACCACTGTTTTCTCTGCCAATGTGTCTCAGTTTAGCTGTATGAGGCTGCTGTAGCCTAAAAACCAGACAGACAGAATCATGAGGAAAGGGGACTTTCATAGTGAGTGATTGAAGATCAGTGACAGTGACATTCACGTGATATAGTAAACAAGCTGACTACACTAACAACAGATCGTAAATGTGCAGTTACATTTATATGCATATACTTTTTTTTTTTTTTTTTTTTAGGGCTGTCAATCTAATAATTACATGCTCTGTGATTAAAGCTATACTTGGTAATGTTGGAGAGCTAGCAAGATTTGAAAGTGGCACCTCCTCTAAGCTCCTCCACCCTCCTCCCCCTCCCTCCTGTCAGTGCTCCGTCCAAAGCCACACCCCCACAAACTTGAACGCGCATCCTGCAGTACACCGACATAGAAGCTAATGTTAGCATTGGGCTAATACAAGCTACAAAAGTAGTTAAGTTGGCTAACGTTACACATTTCATGAAAATAACAAATCCTCCCGAAGCAAAACAAATAATTACCTGTCTAACAGAAAGACAGCAGTGTTGTCTCATCTGCCCCCAACATGTGACAAAACCACTGTGACCTTCAATGAAGCTCCACGTCAAAGGGCATCACAGAATGTGATTAATTAAAGTTCATTTCTTTGATGCGTAATTTTTTTTTTGTGATTAATTAATCTAAATTAACATGCTATTTTGACAGCCCTAATACATATATATATATATATATATATATATATATATATATATATAGAGAGAGAGAGAGAGATACTTATATATATATATATATATATATAGTCAGAAAGTGCCAGTTCATATTCCCTCCTCTCCACTAGGAGGAGGCACCCAGTGGTACCTCCCACTCTATAAATAGAGGCCTGAAGATCACTTCCTCCTCTTTGTCTCTAAGCACTCACACCTTGACTGAGTGTTTGTGAGGTGTTTGCAGGTGTTTGCCATGTGTCTTTTGGTTTGAACTCAAATGTAAGTAGTTTCTTTATATTCCTTTAATTATAGCGTCTCTGACATGAAGAATGGATAATTTATTTTATCTAATTCGTTAAATAATGTTAAGAATCATGTGTTTGGGAATCATTATTGGAGAGATTTGTGGTCCTTTAATATGTATTCAACATGCTTCAAAGAGTGAATTCATTTGTTTGTCAAGATAATGTAATCTGTTCTTTCTTTGTTTAGAACCATGGTAATCATCCTGTAACATCACAGAACCAACATTCACCCTGTGATTTAAAATAAATTGGATGATTGATTGATTGCAATCCTGTTTCCTGGTGGTTGTGTGGCTCCAGTCAGAACTTTCATTCGCTACAAAATGGTCCTTCGAGCCGGAGAATGAGCCACACTCCACACAGTGACCTAAAATGGCTGATTCAGAGACTGATGGCAATAAACTAATTGATGGAACCACTAATGAAGGTCAGGCTACTTCTACTGAGTATATGGATGGATCCCAAGGTGTAATAGACTCAACCCAGCCTACCACTAATGAGGCTACCCCTGAATGGTCTCAAATATCACCTAGGCCATCTACCCCTGCTCACCAAACAGAGCCCCACCTTTCACCTAAACCATCATTGTCTACCTCTCATAGAGAGCACCAAATCCTTTTGCCATCTGATGAAATATCAACTAAACCCTCCACACAGCCAATCAGCCATGACCTAGGGGCTAGACCTAAGAGGGAAAGGTGGCCTCCTGACTATTATGGAGCTCATATGCCACAACAGAAGGTATTTCCACGATCCCATGGCTCACGTAGTTCTCACAAGAGGACTCTTTGCACCAAGTCAGCCTCTAGTCTCCCTACAAGCACTCAATTTAGTGGGAATTCCAGGTGCAGCCATGCTTCTAATTTGAGTGATCTCCAAACCAGTATTCTTGAGGAAAAGAAGAGAGATGAACTGGAGGAGCTTAAAAGACAAAGACAGGAGGATAAGGAGCTTGATGAACAATTTAAAGCTATTGATGAGAAAGCCAGAGCTGCTCAGCATGAGCAAGAAGATGCACACAAGGAGAGAGAGAAAATTGTCCGCCAGATTGGCATGAACCGACGCATACGTATTAAAGAACAAGAGCTTGAGTCAGCCCAGCTTGTTTCTAGTTTTATTAGACAGAATCTCTCTGAGGAGGATCACACTGGTGGAGCCTCTGCTCCTATGTCCCCACTTCTTCATGGAAATGCAGCCACTTCGTCATTTTATGACCTGCCTCCCTCCAGGATATTCACTCCTGCCCCCCCCCAAACCTGATGTATGCTGACTCTCATTCCTCAACTCCCCCGCTTTCTCAACATAGCTTCCCCAGAGGACTAACTGGGACCTCCCAAACCCTTCCCATGCCTCAACCAATACAGCAAAGCCTAGCCCTTGTTCAGGCTCCCTCTTTGCCCTCTGAAGATACTGCTCAAGCTGCACCATTGTCCATTCCCCAGGTATTGGCCCAGGCTATACCCTCTTCCAGTCACCATGCAGCTATCAAGGTAATACCCTCTACCCTTTCTATTTACCATGTACCTGCACCTCCAGTCACTGTCCAAGCCCCTACTTATACTGCAACAATACCTGTTCCTGGACAGCCCACTCTCGCTAGTAGTTTACCATCAATGCAAACCATGACATCCCAGCAGCCGCAATCTGTGTACTCACATATCCAAACCCCCAGTGTTATGGATTTGTTCATAGCCTTTGCTTATGGGATACCAAGGCCTTCACTTCCCGTGTTTAAGACTGGTCAAGAGAGTGAATTTGCCCTTCTGAAAATGGCTCTGGATAACCTCCTTGACAACCACCCACATCTTACTGAACAGTATAAATATCAGATCCTCTTGCAACATCTGCAGCACCCAGGAGCCAACAAACTAGCCAGATCCAGCATGCATGATGCAAGACCATATTCCACAGCTCTCCTAGCACTTCAAGAGAAATATGGTCAGCCAAGACTGCTAGTTCAGAGTGAAATTGGAGCAATATTGAACTCCCCCTTTATTCGCATAGGTGATGTGGAGGCCTTTGATGATTTGTCCCTTTCTGTTCATGCTCTGGTGGGAATGTTGCTGTCCCTAGAGGGCCCTAATGGGTCTGAATTAAGATGTGCCTCTCATGTTGACAGACTCCTCAGTAAACTCCCTGTCCAGTACAGAGATGGGTTTGTTGAGCACTGTATTGATTGTGGTATTCTGAACGGGCAGGCAAACCAAACCTATTCCCTCCTTGACCTTTCAACATGGCTACAGTCAAAGTCAAGAGCCAAACGCATATCAGAGAGAGCTGTTGAGCTCCACAAGCAGGAAAGACCACAAACCGGAAAGGAACACCAGCCCTCCAGACAAGCCTCCTCTGTCTACCTGTCAACATCTGAGATGGATGGCACACCAAGAGCTTACATCAAAGACAAGGTAAATGTAAATAAGCCCAAGCCTTACTGTCCCCACTGTAATGTCAAAGACCACTTCCTTGGTTCATGCACAGAATTCAAAAAACTCTCCAAAGCTGACATTGTAAAATGGATCAAGGAGAAGGACAGATGTCTTAAATGTGGGAGAACACACAAAATGGACAAATGCACCCTAAAGCGGCCATGCAACATCTGTAAGGAGGTTCACCTGACCGTTCTCCATGATGTAAGTGCAATCAATCCCCTTGTCCTCATTGGCTCAGACTATGCCCTTCTCATAACAGCCACAGAGCCAATACTCATAGGCCCCCCTGGTGGCCCATTGGCCGTACATACCAGGCTAGGATGGGCTCTCCAAGGGCCAGCCAGCTTACTTCAAACGCAGCACACAGTCTCCTTTACTCTTACTTGCTTCAGAAGTGAATTGCTCAGGAATGTGGAAAAAATCTGGCAGATTGATACTTTGCCCTATGTGAATGAAAAGACAGCCACAAGGTCAAAACAAGACAAGCTAGCTCTCACTCTTCTCCAGTCTAAGACATCTAGAGTAGAGATAGATGGTGTAATGCATTATGGCACACCACTGTTGAGAGCTCCCAACATCCCTATCCTTCGAGCTCCAAAGGAAGCTGTCCTGCCCCATCTCTGTGCTACAGAAAGGCGCCTGTCCAAAGATCCCAAACTTTCTGATAAATACCAAGAGGAAGTGCATACACTCATACAGGCTGGATATGTTCAAAGGATTCCCAGTGAGCAGGTAGATCAACCACAGGAGACCTGGTATTTCCCACATCACATCGTTGAATACAATAACAAATAGAGAATTGTATTTGACTGCTCCTTTGAATACATGGGACAGAGCCTGAACAAATGTCTACTGCCTGGCCCAACACTTGGTCCCTCTCTCCTTGGAGTCCTACTCAGATTCCGCCAACATGCTATTGCCATCTGTGGAGATATCAAAGGTATGTTCCATCAGGTACGCCTTTTGGATGAGGACAAACCCCTGCTGCGTTTCATATGGAGAGGGATGCAGCTAGACAAGGAGCCCAGCCTTTATGAATGGCAAGTCTTGCCGTTTGGAACGACCTGTAGCCCATGCTGTGCTACCTATGCACTCCAAAAACATGTCCAAGACCACTGTGATGGAAATGAGGAGGTCCTTCTATCTGTCCAACATTGTTTTTATGTTGATAACTGCCTCCAAAGTTTCCCCTCCTGTCATGAAGCCAAATCTCTCATTGATAAAATGAGACCTCTGCTTGCTGATGGTGGGTTTGACATCAGGCAATGGGCTAGTAATGATCCAGCTGTAATACACCATCTCCCCCCTGATGCAAAGTCCAAAACTAGTGATTTGTGGCTCTCAGACAAGGGAGACCCCAAAGAGCTGACACTAGGCCTCCAATGGAGCTGTTCCACAGACATGCTGGGTTATAAGAACAGATCCATCACTTACCATCAGCCCACAATGAGAAATATATACAGAGTGCTGGCAAGCCAATATGATCCTCTGGGCTATCTGACCCCGTTTACAATCCGTGCAAAGATTCTGGTACAGGACTTATGGAAGCAGGAGAGAGGATGGGATAACCTCATCAAAACAAATAGCTTGCTGGAGAAATGGCAAGCATGGGAACTGGAACTGAAGGATCTTCCTGATATTCACTTTCCCCGCTGCTATCTGCCCCCCTGTACCAACGCAGCCACTTCAGAATCCCATATGCATGTATTCTGTGATGCCTCTGATCATGTGTATGGTGCTGTTGCCTACCTTCAGACTAAAGATCAGCATGACCACACCCATGTCAGTTTCATCATGGCCAGATCTCGTATAGCTCCTAAACGCCAACTATCTATCCCTCGCCTGGAACCATGTACAGCCCTTTCCGGTGCCCAGCTGGCTAACCTCCTCAGTTCCAAACTCACCATTCCACTACAGTCAGTGAATCTCTGGACAGATTCTACAACAGTCCTGTCATGGCTAACATCTGACTCCTGTCGTTATAAGGTGTTTGTCGGCACAAGAATAGCGGAGATCCAGACTCTGACTGACACATCGAACTGGAGATATGTTGACTCGAAGAATAATCCAGCTGACTACCTGACACGGGGCAAAACACTCCTAGAACTTTCCCAGCAACACAGATGGAGTCAAGGCCCTCCATTCCTTTTGCTGAATATCAACTGCTGGCCAGCCAATCCGTGTGGGGTAGCTGAATCAGAGCCTGTTGAGGAACTCAGGAAGTCCATGTTCTGCAGTGCAGTGATGTCAGATGACATTAACAACCCTGACGATCTGAACAAGTACAGCAGTTGGGATGATCTGATGAAAGAAACGAAGAATATGCTACAAGAGGCGGTAGATCACGACCCAAACATAGCTCAAAGCTATATACAGTCAGAGAAGCATCTTCTGCAAAAGGCCCAATTAGAGTGCTTTCCTGATGAAGTCAATGCCCTCAAAACTCTCCCTACTAAAAAAAAAACTACTCCCTCTGTCTCCTGAATATGACACTGATCTTGGCCTCATCAGAGTAGGTGGTCGACTTCGAAGAGTGGAGACCCTTGGCAACGACAACATCCATCCAACTATATTGGATCCAAAACATCACATAACCAAACTCATGATAAAACATTATGATGAGAAACTACTTCACCCAGGCCCTGAGCGTGTCCTGGGGGAAATTAGATGCAGGTACTGGATCCTGCGTGGTCGCCAAGCTATTCGTCAGCATCAACGCCAATGTCAGGACTGTCAGAGATGGAGCCAACCCAATCATTCCCAAAATGGCAGACCTTCCTCCAGCCCATCTTAGACTTTTCAAGCCCCCCTTCTGGTCGACAGGCATGGACTGCTTTGGCCCTTTCATTGTGAAAATCGGCCGTCGCACAGAGAAGCGATGGGGCATACTCTTCAAATGCTTAACAAAACGCTGCATACATCTTGAGTTGCTTGATAGCATGGATGCAGATACATTTCTAATGGCATTCAGAAGATTTGTCTCACGCAGAGGGAAACCCTTTGAAATCCTCTCTGACTGTGGGACTAATTTCAGAGCGGGAGAAGCAGAGCTGAAAAATGCATTCCTGTCCATGGCACCAGACCTGCAGCAGCAACTGGCTCACACACAGGTGAACTCCCAATACAATCCTCCATCTGCCCCACATTTCGGTGGAAGCTGGGAATGAGAGATAAAATCAATAAAAATGGCCCTCCATGTAGCAGTAGGAAACCAACCAACAACAGAGACAGTCCTACACACAGTCCTGATTGAGGTTGAGGGCATTTTGAATTCCAAACCTCTCAGATACATCTCCTCTGACCTTGCTGATCCAGACCCAGTAACACCAAATATGTTGCTGATGGGGTGGTCCGACTCCTCTCTTCCTCAGGAGATCAACTGTGCAAGTGAACTCCTAGGCAGACAAAGATGGCGTCACAGTCAGATCTTGGCTGATCATTTTTGGACAGCCTTCATTCGCTATTACCTTCCAAACCTTCAAACCAGGCAAAAATGGGAGACCCACAAGAAAAACTTGGATTCAGGTCAGGTTGTACTGATAGTTGACCCCCAGTATCCTCGAGCATCATGGCCTATCGGAAGGATAATTGAAACCTGCCCTGGAAACGATGGAAAGGTTTGCAGTGCTAAGGTCATTATCCAAGGCCGAGAATACCTATGCCCTGTTTCCAGATTGATCCCACTGCCTGAAATGACTGATGAAGCCAGATGAAACGTATTTGCTACACAAATCCGGGGGCGGCTGTCAGAAAGTGCCAGTTCATATTCCATCCTCTCCACTAGGAGGAGGCACCCAATGGTGGCTCAGGGTATCAGTGGTACCTCCCACTCTATAAATAGAGGCCTGAAGATCACTTCCTCCTCTTTGTCTCCAAGCACTCACACCTTGACTGAGCGTTTGTCAGGTGTTTGCCATGTGTCTTTTGGTTTGACCTCCAATGTAAGTAGTTTCTTTATATTCCTTTAATTATAGTGTCTCTGACATGAAGAATGGATAATTTATTTGATCTAATTCGTTAAATAATGTTAAGAATCATGTGTTTGGGAATCATTATTGGAGAGATTTGTGGTCCTTTTAATATGTATATATTCAACATGCTTCAAAGAGTGAATTCATTTGTCAAGATAATGTAATCTGTTCTTTCTTTGTTTAGAACCATGGTAATCATCCTGCAACATCACAGAACCAACATTCACCCTGTGATTTAAAATAAATTGGACGATTGATTGATTGCAATCCTGTTTCCTGGTGGTTTTGTGGCTCCAGTCAGAACTTCCATTCACTACAGATATGTACAGAATAACAACCATATCAGGACCTTGAAATTCTGCCATCATTCATTTTATCCTCATCACCAGTGATAATGGAAGCTATCTTTTGTGAAAAGGATCTGTTGATGCAAAAATCATATACAAACAAATTCAGTATTTCCATATAGCAGTCCTGCTCATTGATTTGTAACACATATCATTGCAGCAGTCTAATACACCCAGAATGATGGGATAGAAAGGGATAGATAGTACAGTGTAAACAGTATGGTGAATACTCTGATAGTTGACATTTGTGCTGTTTCACAGTAGTTGTCTAGGATAGTAGATTCTTAAATCTTCATGTAGGGCTAAAATCATCGCTAGTTCCATGCCAACAGTACATTTACAATATGTGTAGGTAGCCTCCATGCTAACTGTTTACACTTATTTGGCTGTTAGTAAGCTGTAAGTAGTAAGTCTCACACTGTCACATTAGCATATTTATCAACCTGGAACAACACTGGAGAAACTAGAAACAAAATGAGGATGTTACTAAAATAACATTCATTCACCCAACCAAAAACAAACTTTTCTTTAACTCATTATTTTCTCTCATTTTCTGTTGCAAAAATGAAATTCCCAGATTGCCACTGCCTTGTGTTTTTTGTTTTAGACACAAAAGACACAAGGCTCTCTTGCTTTGACAGTGAACTCACGATGGCTTTTTTTTTTTTGGATTCAGCTGACATGATTGATTGATGAGCAGTGCATCTTTTTCTTCTCTTCCCTTCAAAAGCCTCTTCATCTTGAGCTTGACATGTCATTTTGACAGCCTTGCAACATCACAGCACTCTTGTTTTCTTGTCATTTCCAAATGAGTCTGTTGGGGTGTAAATTGGCTTCCCTCAAACCAAAAAATAGTCTGTGGTGTTGATCAATATCCAGTAAAAATTGCTTCCAGTACAAACAAAGGAAATCCAGAGCACTCTGAAGAAAAAAAAAAGTCTGATCAGAAGTCCAATGCAAGAAGGTTTATTCTTTGTTCAGAGATGACATCCAAATAAACCCATTTGAGTTGGTGGTCCGGACCAAGAACTGCACCCATAAGCCTCGGGCACTGATCTTTATACCCGGTCTTGCTCTCCTTCTCTTGCTCACTTTAAAAAAGTTTTTTTAATCAATCATATGTGTGCAACTACTATTTTTTCTAATTCATATACATCACAACATCACTTTTTTCAACATCTGATCCCTGGAAGCCCCCTTAGAGCAGTTAAAACCAGTTGAGTAGGTTGTTTATCTCTGTTTCCCATAAGTGCCAACCTCAGCAGAGTTCTTTTACTCTGATCTTACTGGCCTCTCTTTCAAGTCTCCCAATTGTCTAGGTCAGAGCGAATGTGTATTTGTGCAGGTGCTTGGAGCGACCTTCAGATGTGTGTATTTTCATTTACAGCGTTGTGTATTAGTCTTCTCAGCTGCCTTGGGCTTTAGTGGCACTTGTTGCAGCCTCAGCACTCAGGTCATCACTCTCCACACAGCAAGTCAACTTTAAGAGGACTTCATTCTACTATTAGATTTTGATCAGCTTCTTGTCTTCCTAATTCATACGGTGATAACATACTGATGATACAACTCAACACACTGGTTATGCTTGGATTTTGGTGCACTTGATAACCTTTTAACTCAATTTGATATGACAAATAATGTTCAAATAGCCATTTTCATTTTTTTGATTATTGTTTAAAAAGAAAACCTCAACAAGTCAGATTCAGACTCATCTTTTTCTGAAGATTCTTTTTCGGTCAAGCAACTGTTGCAATGCTTACAGCATTAAATATAGTTGCACCTATGTTTGACAAGTCAACATATCTGCTGTGAAAAAATCTTTTCAGCTTTAAATTCCACTCATCTGTTTTCTTATCTGGGGCAGGGTCACGAAAGCAGTAGGGCTGTAGTCTCCTGGTCGACTAGTTGATTATTCGGTCGATATGCTCTCGTCCGACCAAATTCTCATTAGTCCAATAATCGCCGTGTTACTTTCATAAGGAGAAAAGTGCTACATCAATAGCTTTCCAGGATTAATCCATTATTTCCTGTGGCGGGGGGGGACAGGCTAAGTTACCTGTGAAAATAGGGGTATTTTCAAAACACCCCCGTTGTTGACAGAAAGTTGCACTCACCCACCCTAAGCTCAGTGTCACGGTGACGCAGACCTCCTGTCAGTTTCTGTACACTGACACCTTTTCCCTCAGTGGAAATTAAGCTTGTAATTACTTGTAGCCTATTTCACAGATAAGAAACAATAAATTGTGAAGACAGTAAAGCCTCCACTAAAATAGCATTTTAAGTCTTGTGTGTGATCTATCCTTCAGGGATTTTTACTTCGGGATTTATCCTGGCTTCATATGAACAGAGGAAATCTCAGCTTGTCGATAGGCTAATGTATACAATGTAAAATGCCATAGGCTCGTGCTAATAACGTTAGCATGTTGTATTTGTTTGGAAAACGTGTTTAGTGTGACGGTTGTTGTGTCTGTGAATCTTGTGAGTTGTAATGGAGCCAAATGATGTGCCGTTACCTTTGTTACATGTTGCTGTTGTCCCTGACTTTATATGAGAAGAGGGAAAGATCGCTAGACGCTAGGCTAATTTATACAATGTAAAATGCCATAGACTTGCGCTAATAACGTTAGCATGTTGTGTTGGTGGGGGAAATGTGTCTAGATAAAGACAGGTGTTTGTCTGTCAATTCAGCGATTTATAGTGAAGCCAATTTATGTACTTGTGTTTGAAATTTCTCTGTTAAGCGAGAGTCCTCCACCGCCGACTAGCGTTTTGGAGGTGTAACTGCAGAGTGACAGACACACCACAGCAGAAGTAAAAATAACGCGCAGATTTTTTTTTCTCACGACTAATCGTTATTAGTTGAAGATTATGTACGACTTTAGTCGACCAAGATTTTCTTTGGTTGACTACAGCCCTAGAAAGCAGCAGGCTAAGCAAGGTAGTTCAGACATCCCCATCCCCTCCTCTCCTCACCATGGTTGATAAAGATAACTCTGTAGTTGTTGCTGTCTCGTGCTGTCTAGATGATGAGAGGCTGGTTGTTGAGGTCGAGAAATATCCTGGGATAAAGAACCCACACTCGTCATTATAAAGACCATGGCCAAAAAGATACTGCCTGGCGAGTCATGGCTCTGGAGATCAGGTCTACAGATGAGAAATCAAGTTTAATTGGGGGCTGTGCTAACATGATTTTAAGCTAATGCAGGAAAAGGTACAGATCAGAAGTAGTAATAACTTTGAGTGGTCGTCTGTTAACGAGCTGCAGTGTGACGCGTCTGGTGTGTGCAAGGAGCGGCGCTTTTCCACGTCACATGACACGGTGGTGCTGGTGTGATTGAAAGAAAACAACAAAAAATAAGTTGTTAAATAAAGATAAATAAATGTTTTACAATGGTACACTATGAGATGGAGAACAAGAGGGTTTACATATGAGTCAAACTCCCATCTGGGACCTTAATGTGGGTTTCCCAATTGTTTCATTTCAACATGTTCCAATGCTGCCAGATTACCAAGCTGACTAAACCAGGATCTTACCACGGGAGCATTGAAGGCCTTTCATTCACATATAATTATTTTGCATCCCAGCATGACTGCAGTCTGAATCCACTTTGCATCTGTGGAACTGAGATCACCAAGAAGTGAAGGATCCCCAAGACAAATAGACGAGGAGAAAAGGGGAATTTTGTGTTTCTGAATGTGGTCAATCTGGGCGCTAATTCCCAACCAAAATTTCTGTATGTTCGGGCAGTTCCACAACATGTGCATCAGAGAGCCCTCTCCCCCCTGGCATTTCCAGCATAAAGGGCTGTCCCTTAGTTTGACCTTGTATCATTTTAATGGTGTCCAGTGGACCCTGTTCAAGACCTTAAATTAAATGGGTCTAATATTAGGATCTCTGGACATCTTTTTGGCATTTTTTAGCATCAGAGTCCACTCCTCTATATATAATGTGGCCATATCGGTCTCCCACACCCCTTTAAGGGAGGAGGCAGAGTTGTCTAAACTAAATAATAAATAATAATAATAAATATTTGGACAAGGTGTGTCATTTGTAAGTAACGCCAAAACTGATGTTGAGGTAGTGCAAAGGACTCCTTTGGATTATTTAAAGACCTATTAGTGCCCCCCTCATACAGGTCTCCCAGTACCCTAATTCCTCTGTCGAACCACAATTTCCAAATGACAGGTGAGTGCCCTATACACAACTTGTGGTTTAACCAAATAGAGGCTGAGAAATGGAGTTGTGGGCCAAATTTACACATAGCAGCGACTTTCTTCCACTGCATATGAGACATAATTGGGTGAGTTTGGTCCTCAGCTGTCAGTTTGGCTGTGATTAAGTGAATAGGATTAAGTGGTTTACAAAGGGAGCTCTCAGTGGTATACCAGGGAGGTGCTCGTTCAGGGGATAGAGACCTGTGAGCATGTGCTGGAAGCCAAAGGCAAATCATGCAATAAAAGGTTTGGGATACCATGCCCCCCCTGATCCACCTGACTCTGTAGCTTTCTCAATTTTAGCCAGGGGCAAGAGAAATCCCAGAGAAATATGTTGATGGGGAGTGACTGTAATAGGTAATTTAATTTTGGTCCACAATTAATTTTTTGACTTGACAGATGGAGGGGGGCCCATCTCTAAATGTCATTCTTAAATTTTTCCAGGGGAGGTTCAGAGTTGGTACATACAACATCTGACAGCTGTGGGAGAAATGTGAGGCCAAGATATTTAATGCCTGAAGTGGGCCATATAAAACCAGGTTTAAACAAGTTTTTGGAGCAGTGCGCTGTAAGAGGGATTGCCTCAGAGAGAAGAACAGATACTGCCACTTCACCCTCTCAAACGCTTTCTCTGCATCTTTAGAGAGAGCCCCTGCAGAGGATCATTTACTGCTAGAGGCCCACATTATTATATTAATTAAACATCTGAAGTTATCAGCAGAGCTGCGAGAGTATATGAAGCCCACTTGGTCTGGATGGATCAGCGTAGTAATCACTTTATTGAGTCGGGCTGCAAGAATTTTAGCTAAGATTTTACTCTCACAACCAATCAGACTGACAGGCCTGTAGCTTTTGCAGTCAATGGGTTTTTTTTTTTCAGTATCAAGAAAATGACGGCATCGCACAAAGAAGGAGGTAGGCTGTTCCTGTACATGGCCTTACAGTACATGTCAAGGAGTAATGGGGAAAGCTCCTCCACATAAGTCTTAGAAAACTCAGTTATGAAGCCATCCGGACCAGGGGCTTAACCAGATGAAAGATTTTGAATGGCTTCAGCTATCTCTTTTGTAGTAACTGGCTGATTTAGCAAAGCCACCTGATCTTTCTACAAGGTTAGGAAGACCAGGGGGACTCAGAATCGCATCAATCTCCTGCTTATCAAAATGGGACTCGGATGAATAGAGGCTGATGTAAAAATCCCTTAATACTGCATTTATCTCACAGGGGTCAGTTCAGAACATCTCCCTAAACTCTTAAGTGCAACACACACCGCCGCCATACGGCGCACATCAAACCCCCGCCTCCATTATATTCTATGAACAAACCAACACCGGTGCCGGCCGCCGCGCTGCGCCACTCTGTGCCACTCTGCGCCGCTCTGCGCCGCTCTGCTTCAGCCCACTGCTCTAGTTCCAGCGCGGCCGGAGCTGCAAGAAAAGCCTTTTATGTCGGCCGCCGTAGTATCAACTCCAGTTGCAGCTTTCAAAGGGGTATCTGGATGCTTAAATTTTTAATAAGACGATTTTGATAAGAAACTCACCCGTGAAATCAAAGTTGTTGTTGCCTCAAAGTTTTTCCTCTTCTTCTTCCGTTACTAGCAGTTGGCAACCGTTGGCAACTACTGTAGGTACAGCCACCTAGCGGGCTGGGGTGGGAAATACACTTTAGTGTCGACGGTGCCGTGCGCCGCTGCCAATGTGTGTTGGGGGGCGGCACTTGACGGCCACAGCCCCACACCGGCAGCAGTGTGTGTTGCACTTTAGGGCTGGAATGGATGGAATGTCAGTGTATATCCATAAGTATTAAAATAAATGTCAAATTCTTTTCAAATGTCAAAAGGTCCTCAGAACGGTCCACCTTGAGATCCTGTTCATGAATATCATAAACAGAAGAGGAAGAAGTGAGAAGGGACAGTCTTGATGGGGGCTAACACTGACTTTGCCTAAGTGCTGAGAATATAGATTCATCTCTCATTTTGGTTATATAAGGACTGAATGGCTCATAGCAGTGGTCCCAGTGTACCCCCCACAGGACTCCCTTGGGGACATGGTCTACAAAACACATGTAGACTGTATGGGGAAACTGCCATGATCCCCCCAGCAAACATGGTCCTCCTAGTGCATATTTTTTACAGAGAACCTGACTTAACCAATGTCTGCATACCTCATCTTTTCTTTTATGTGTGTGCTACAGGTCTTGTCGTATCACGCCTCTGCCGCAGACGAAGAATCACGGGAACTCCAGGTAACCGCGGTAAATTAAAATTTATTTACTACCAATATGCACTTACATGTCAACATGAACATTAGTTTCCACCAGTATATGGATTATTCAGTAGACAGCATATATGCAGACACAGTGACACACAGTGACATACAGGCATGTCAGTCAGGGTCACAGGAAGCAGAGTTTATGTAGATGAGAAACAGTCATGTAACACAACACCACACCACTGAATCAGCAAGAAAGCGCCAGTATAGAAACTCTATATGTCTGCTTTCCAAACACACATGCACACACACTTGCCAGTATAGCACTACATGCATTGAATTACCTTAAACAATGAACTGGCTGACACAAAGTATCCATGGTATGTGTTCAGGCCTGAATTATTTTGCACAAATAATGATAAATTGTAGCTTTCAGAAAAGTCTGTATTTTTAGTCACCTTTAAACAATAACGTATCATGCCAACGTAAAAGGACAGCATTTTTCATCAGTGTCTGACGATGGAAGTCACTGACCAAGCACTGGTATTCGATGACTTCTGAATGAGAACAAGCTGCAGAAAACATGTTTTAGTTTTGTTTTTGTTTTTTGGAAGAAAACCAGATAGAGATAGGGGACAACAAAAGACCTTCTGAGTCTTTACAACTCTGACAGCTCAGCAGCAGTGGTCAGATTTACTAATGAATACTTTTAGAGGTGGTCTCTAGATGCAGCACTTTACAGTGGTTTATTATGTCTCAAACATGCCAGAGGGAACGTATTGTTGCTCAGGAGTGCTGCACCATAGTGTGTGTGTATATGCACACACACTATGGCGCAGCAAGACTGCTGCCAGCTATAGGCCATTGTTCGAGACCATCAAACAACAAGACCTTTTTTTTTTTTCCTTTTAAACAGCAGTGGCATTTCCAGTTGTGATAGTGCCACCACAAGTGGTAACATATGTAACCACAATGTTGTTGAAATGCAAAATTTGCTACATAATAAGGTACAAATGTTGTCTGTGGTTTGCAGAAACCTATATTTACAGTGGTATTTTATAGTGGTTCAGCTGACTCTGACCCCTTGCCCTTTGACCTGACCTGATGACGTTGTCACATCAGATCGGAGGAACTAATTAAATCTGCACCTTGTAAACATCTTTTTCATATAATATCTTAGGGGCTGTACACATGCCGTGCCTTTAACCTCCTGGAAAATGCGAGGTCGGATGCTGGCCGCTACTTTTTTGCCTTTTTTGAAGAAACTTTCATGAGTGTGGCGGTAGTGGTGGCCGATAAAACGATAACATATCGTATTGCGATAAACACTTATGCGCCAACAATAGAAATAACGTTCAATATAACGTTAGATAATGATACTGTATTCTATCGGGAAAAAACACGAGGAAAGCCGTGCAAGTTACCCTCGGAGTCAGAGGTTGGTTGCATGAACACACTCACTTGCTCCCTGGTAACCTAGCAACGGTGTCACGCAAACAGCTAACAATGTCGTGTTTGGTTGTGCCTTCCTCATGTGTGAATACAAGGTGTGGACCTTATAAGCCGCGACTTTGGGCTTGTCTTTTGGTAAAGTCGCTTACAAATATTGGTAGTCGCAGGTTGCGGTTTTTTGGGCTTGTTTCTAAAGTGGAGTTGCTTATTTGGGCCTGCTCTCTAAACGTCTGAATTTCTTTCTCTATATCCGTCTAATAAGTTATTTAAACGCATGAGAGTATGTCGGAATGCAGGATGTTTCCACAGCTCCGCTCCCTCCGCCCCTCTCCTTCTCCACATACACACAGTTGACGGTCAGTCAATCAGACTTTTCACATTTAAATTGCACGATTTAATGGAGGTTCTTTAACTATTTCGCTAACAAGTGAGCGAAATATGGAAAGACTACAATAAAGATTTGTAGAAAGAGAGAGGATTAAAAGATTTGACTTCAAGAGGGGGGTGATTCAAAGGAAGTGTGCAGAGCTGTTACATGTTATTACAAGTCTACCTCAGGTTTGCACTAATTTCTACATAGCGCTTTCCTCACTATGTGAATCACTTATTCATCGGTACATAGTTTTCTGTTCAGCTGCTCATTTTTACAGATATGTTTGCCTGAAAGCATTCATTAGCTTTACTTGATGTTAAGAGAAAACTGTTCATTTTTTTATTTTAGTTTTTATACCATCTTGTGTATGTTCATTTATTTGAGTGTTTTCTATTGGTTGTATTGACATTACATTTTCCTCCGCGTGCCTTGACTGATGACTGTGATTGAAATCAGAAGAAAGCTACTGAGTTTAAAGTAAATGTGTTAAAGTTTATTTATTTTCTCCTGGTCCTTATTTTAAATAGGTTATAAAAAAATTCTCAATAATTATCGCTATCTTTTGGCTGTGATTGGTTGTTCCTTGTCACATGACATGCAGTGTGTGCTGCTGCGTTCCAAAAGTTGAACTCGCTTTATTTCGGGGCACAGCCGCTGGGCCCTGAAAAATAGGCGCTCTGCGCACTGCAGCGTGCGCACTGCACCGGCGTCGCTCTGGTGTTTGAGCACACCTGCCATGCAGCTACACTGAAAACAATTAATTTCACGGTGCAAAAACACAGCATGTGTAAGGCCCCTTACAGTCCTCTTATCATATGCTGTTTAAAATTTCAAACAAATGTTTAGATAAGCCACAAGCACTCTCCTAAACTGCACCCACCTAAAATGAGTTTCTCATTGGTTATTAATGCAGCTTTCTAATCTAACCTAGCCTTTAGTACAAGGGGCGCATGCTCTATTGATAAGTGATTTGAAAAGAATATGCAGTGGAGGCATGGCAGCCAAATCCCAGTGAAGAGTTTGCAATATACAGAAAACCAGACTATCAAGATCTTTGGTCTGTATAGCCAGCAGCCCAGTGATGTTGTTGCTTCTGAGCAGACAGCCTTGTAGGAAAGTGGTTAATAATAAAGTGGTTATTTTACATTTTATCTTTGCCTAGCCATGATTCAATGAAAGCTTTTTGATGTATTCATTATCTAACCGTCCCTCAGACATCTCTACGGGGTTGTCTCATCCACAGTTCAGCTCTCTCTGCAGCAGTGACTCAGCAAAACACTGTCCATCTCCTTAGCGTCATATAGTCTTGGTTTAAAATCCTCTTAAATCGTTTAAAATGCTCTTTAAAGAGCAACTGAACAACTTGTTTTAGCTTGAACATGCCTCCTGCACATAATAATAAAATGCATTTCAATACTGCTCATGTTCCTCACAAACCTGTGACTGAACTACTGTCTGGTGCACACTCTTGCTCTTTCTATCGCTTTTCAAATTTCAATTTGAAACTGAATTATGGATTACCACAAGAGAGGGAATAGTGATTGTATAATATATAACATCGTCTTGGTTTTGGGTAGTGAAGTTCGAGGCATCACTGATTTTTCAGACTTTGTTTTGGTTTGCAAGACAGAATTACAGTGGAAATATGCACAAAACTGCCATTGTAATTAATTTAGTAAACTGGAACCATAATCCATTGATAGTGGATTACATACAGCACTTTACTATTAATAGTACTAACTCAAAAAAGTGGATATACTGATGAGTTACTCCATCGTACATAGTATTTTTTACTGCTTTTGTAAAAATATCCCTCATTCTTGAGAACTGGGACACAACCTTATTATTTTGGGGGTTTGATTTTTACTCCTCAAGTAGGCTGAGAAATTATATTTGAAGAGATCAAAGTCTTGGCTAAACTGTGTGATGGGCCAACCTCGAGTGATATATTGTTTCTTGAATAGCATACATGATGGATGTCAGAGGTAAAGGTTGACGGAGTTTACATCTCATGGAGTTGACAAAACGTTATATATTTATTCATTTTAGGGATGCACGATAATATCGGCACCTCATTGTATCGGCTGCAATTGGCTTTAAAGTGAACATATGAACATCTGAACATCGGGATTTTTTTTTGCAAAATATTTTTATTGACAACAATATTTGATGACAGTAGCCCTCTGAAAGTATACAATTTTTTTTTGTTTTGTTTTGTTTTTTCGAAACGAGAAAAAAAAGGAAAACCAATACGCATTTAAGTACATGCTAAGTGACAAAAAGAATCATCATCAACGACCCATCAACATCCCATTAAAAAAAAGAAAAAGAATTCTTTCTCAACTGTGGGTCAAGCAGAACATCAAGTCCGAGCAAAAAAAAAAAAAGAAAAAAAAGAAAAAATTACAAAACTTAAAATATAAATTACTAATGATAACAATGACGTAAAGTGGGCATTATGAGTCCCCTATAATAAATCAGTCCTTAATCTGGCAGAACCTGCAAGTCTGTAAAATAACATAAGAAAGGTTGCCATTTGTAAAAGAACTTGTCAGTGCTTTCTCTCATTGTATATTTAATCTTCTCAAGTTTGAGGAAGAACATAGTATCTTGGAGCCACTGTGCAACAGAGGGAGGCCTAGGAAATTTCCACTGTAGGAGAATGCGACGTCTGGCTAATAAAGATGTAAAATTTATAATCTCTTTATGTGTGGAATTTAATCGAACTGACGCATCTGGGGACCCAAAGATAGCAATCAATGGACAGGGTTGTAGCTGTTTTCCCATTATGGTAGACATTATATTAAAATAACTTGACCAGAAGTTATGTAACTGTGGGCAGAAAAAAAACGTGGCTCAAATGACAATGTGGGTTCATACATCTATCACACTTATCGTCTACTTCTGGGTAAATTTCAGACAGTTTAGGTTGGGAAAGATGTACCCTATATGTGACCTTAAATTGAATGAGTACAAGACGAGCACAAGAAGAGACAGTACATATTCCCTGTACAGCTTCCTCCCACCATTCCTCACTAAACTGAAATCCCAGGTCTCCCTCCCAAGTAGCTTTTATTTTCAAATTTGACTGATCAGAGATCCAAATTGTGATTGTATGGCTCTGAATTCTCCCTTTATTGCATCTTAAAAGTGAGCAAACTATCGCATTGTTGTTGAGGAGGTGGAGAAGGAAATTTAGAGAAATATTTGGAAACAAA